CTGCATTGTGATGTTTGAATATGCTCTCTGTATATACATGAACTTATAATCTTCAATTGAAGTTTAGATTTTAGGTGCAAATATATCCATTTTTCATCATATACATGTGATTTTTAAAGATACTAGATCCTAAAGTTTGATAATATTACAACACATAAGTCTTAAAGTTATACATATTTAGTTTTAAGTTCGTATAATCAGTTAAATGTCTTGCAGTTCTCTGAATATGAAAGGTGAGGGTGAAGCCTCCAAGTGCCATGTGAAAGAAGCTAGAAGAATGAAAAACAACAGTCCCTACTGCAACTCCTCGGAGCAACTGCATATGCATTTGGTATGTTTTTACCGTTCATCACCCACTTGGAATATCAGGTTTTTTATACCTTGGAATCCGAACAAAATGCAAAAAAAAATGACATGTTTTACGATCTTATAATGTGTTCTACTCTTTGATTTTGTTGGTTGTTTGTATATATTTTTTATAAGGTTCATGAAGACAATTTTTTTAGTTTATTTATTATTTTTCTTTTATTATATTAATTAAGTGTCAATGGATTTGGAGTTTGAGCATTTTCTTATTAGTTCAGATTTTGCTTGAGTATGCATGTTTAATTAAGTATTGATTTTTTATCTATTATTTTGAGCCTCCAACAAAAAGAGTAACCTTTTATTATTATTTAGGTTTCAAAATTTGGCTTAATATTGATCGAGGTAGAAACAAAGATCAGATCTTCCACTATAGAGTTATCTTATGTACGGAGTATATTAAATGCATGTTCAAGCATAGTTTTGCATTTTTCTCATCATTAATGTAGCTTATGATTGCTGGTCATCTTGGCAATATTGTTGTGCTGGTATTAGATTGATAAACTTGGAATCACGAGCAATTTACGTTTCTCGATCAGAAGCTGCTTTACGACCCTTTTATTTACTTTTAGCAGAAAAAAAGCAGTAATTGTTCCCGCCCAATCGTCTTCTGAGCAATACGACGCAAGCTAGCGGGATGCTTGGTGATCATTGAAAACTGCAAGCCCCCAAGCACTTAGCAAGACGGATGGAAGCATGAGGCACATCCACAGGAGACAAAGAAAAAGGCGAGCATTTTAATCTGCTGGGTGCAGCATTGGTGACAGACGAATTTTGGGAGGGGGTATATGGAGGCTCTGGTGACTGTCAAGGCTTGCTTCACTTCAACGCAGATTGGATTGAGAATAGACATAGGGCGAGGGATTTGTTTAGATCAATTTACTTGAAGTGTACCCTAAACAATCAATTTCTTATTTCTAGAGTATCATATCCTATGTGCATTCTACCACAATTATATGATTATTTGTTTCTAAGTAGCTAGTACGTGTTACTTTGATATTTACTAAATACCTTATTAATTTTAATTGGTTAGGCTGAAATGTTGAAGAACAAGTTTGGGTATGATGATGCATTTAACTACAAAGAAGAGAAGGACTTGAGGGCCACTTTGAAGAGGTTAGTTTTATGTACTAGTGTATGCCTCATAGATTATTTGTTCAATTTTCATCTTTTACAATAAATCAGACTCAACTTGTGACCTATAATTATATAAAAACTATATGGTATATTAATTATATAAAATAATATTTTGAAAATATTTTACATAATAAATAATCTAAAAAAATAATTTTTGCATCAATATGCATGCAATCCGAATTATATTTAATTAACGATCAAAGTTTATCAATTTTGACAATAAAATTCAAAACTAGATAAATACTTTGAGAGAGAGATGATATTTAGTAATTAATGATTAATAAACTAATGGTTTTTCTTTGGTGTCTTTATCAGTGATATGACATGCAGACCCTCCCCTCCCTCCATTAATTGTGTGATATATATGTTTCTATTGACACTTGATAATACATAACCTTAATTAATAATTTTCTATAATTTCTTCAAAAACTATAAAATAACCTCAATTTTATTCCATATTAGATTAAAAAACTTTAGTTTCTTGCCATTGCTTATAAATTTTTTTTTATTTTTACACCTACAATCAAATAAATTAATTTTAAATAAAGTCAGTCAAACCTCGTAAACGGGAATGAAAAATTTAATTCAAATCTATTATTAATTACTCGTTTTGTCCCATAATTAAATTTTCCATTTCGGTTCATGAGGTTTGACCGGCTTTATTTAAAATTCAGTTTATTTGATTACAGGTGTAAAATTCAAAAATAAATTTATATGTTTAAAAATTACATTTAAGGTTTTTGAAACAAGAGATGACACGATTATTTATTATTATGAAATAATGTGGAGTGAAAATAAACAAATAAAGTGATTAAAGTTTGATCGTGTGAATAGCGTCTAAGCAATTCAATTCTGAATGGGGGGAGTACTATTTTATTTCATAATTTCTCATTATTTTAGTTTTAGATAACTATCATTTTATTTAATTATTATGTAATGAATTCATTATTTTAGTTTTCATAGATAATTGTAATTATTTTTCCCAATCTAATATTTAATTAATTATTTTATTCAATTGTTATTTAATTACCTCATTTTTTTAGTAATGACAAATACCATTATTTAGACATAACTGTATGGCTTAATTGAATAAAGTTGTTTTTACTCAAATAATTGCACATTAATTACCATTTTCAATTCCTACAAAAGATTTATAAACTTGTCCCACTCAAAATAAAGAAATGGGTATATTTATTGTTAATCAGATGCCTCCCCAAAAGAATCGATATTTACTTCAATAACGTGGGAGGAAAGATGCTAGATGCAATGCTTCTCAACATTAATCTCCACGGGCGCATTATCATATGCGGAATGATCTCACAATACAATCAAACGAAAGGACCTGAAGGCATTCATAATCTGATGACTCTCATCAGTAAAAGGATTCGCATGGAAGGGTTTATGGTTGGTGACTACTATCATCTATACCCTAAATTTCTTGAAACGGTTCGTTCGTATATTAAAGAAGGGAAGATTGCGTATATGGAAGACATTGCAAAAGGTCTTGAGAGTGCTCCCAATGCTCTGATCAAGATTTTTACTGGCGCAAACGCTGGGAAGCAACTGGTGGTTGTTTCTCACGAATAACTTTTATTTTTATTTTCAGAATCCATGGCTGGTCCCGTGAATGAATAATATTTGCTAGTTTCATTCCCAACGTTATTTGTGTTTTTTTGCTTCTAAGAATAACTCAGCATGGTGTTAATGTACTTTATTTCATTTTCAGTCGTTCTATTGCATGATTTCACATTTTCAAATAGCTAGAAGAAAGAAAACAATGTGTTCTCATTTTTAGCATTAAAAATGGCAAGGCTTTGGTGAGAGTTATTTTGGATTTAAAGTTTTATGTTGCCTACTTTTGCGAGTAGGGGCAGACACATCTTGAAACCTGCTAGGTAGAGGTGTTCAAGTTTAGGTCTAGACCGAAAAATCGGCCAAACCAATGGGCCGTTACAGCATCTTGAAACCTAATGATGCGATGCCAATTTTGGAAAAATATCCTTTACATATTTCCTTTCAAAATTTTGGGAGTCCGCAAACTCTGAATCGTGAACTCACAGAGTCCTTTCCTTTGAAAATCGTGATTTGAAAGGAAATTTTTGAATTTTGAAAGCATTCTCAAATTTACAGGTTTTGAAAAATGGTGAATTGGGTTCAAATATACAATTTGAAAGGAAGTCTTTGGGAAACATATTAAGAAGAATACGAATTCAATAAAAATTACATATGGATTTTGGGGACAGACCCAATTCTTGAAGCCACAAAAATTCTGATTGCAATTATTGATTCTATTAATCTTAAACATATCGAGACTTTCCTTTCGCAATACCCGATAATAAATCTGGCGAAGAATTGGTGATGAATCGGAGAATACTCTTTAATAAATCTGGCAAAGATTTTTCTTTGGCGACGAAGCAAATCGCAGAGAAGAAATTGGCGAAGACTTGTGAATTGAGCGATGAAGAAAGTTTAAAAAATAAGTTATAGAAGCGTGTAAGCTTGTGTTTCAAAAAATCTCACCCTTTAAAAGTGTCACATGTCAAAAATTTGTTCCAAATCTCAGATAAATTGTATTGAAAGTAACTTCAACGAAACATCATTAACCAAAATAGGCGATTGGAGCAAATAATCACATCAATTTCGACCCCTCCCCTCGGAATTGCAAAGTGTAATTAGAGTCATCGAGTTACACATATACAACAATTTCACGCTGACTTTATAATCAAACGACCAACCAAACACGATAGTGTAAATAATACTCGTAAGTAAAATCAAGAGAGGCGAAAGCATATGGCAACAAAAAAAGAGTTTCATTATCCAAAAACAAACAAACAACCAAACAAATACTCCCTCTGTCAGTTTTTTCTGTCTACTTTTGACTTTTCGATCAAAATTTGTAAACTTCAAACTCAAATTAAATAAAAATGATGCTCGTATTAGATATTGATACAAAAATAGTTTTACTAGATTTATTATATCAAATATTTTCAAAATATTATTTTACCTAATTAATACTCACTCCATCCCGGAGTATTCGTTCAGTTTTGACTTTTGGAACTGTTCATATAAGCACTTTGACTCATCAAATTCTCTCAATGTGTAAACCTAAATATAGTCATGTGTGATCTTATTTGATTTGTCTTAACATATAGATTATTAATATATAATTTCTATAATTTTTTAGTATACAAATTACAAGATAAAATAAATTAAAGAAATGTATTGGATGGTGTGTAAAAATGAAAGTAGACAAATATTCTGGGACGAAGATAGTATAAGATATGTATTTTATATAGTTATAAGTCAAAGTTGAAAATGGTTGACCAAAAAAATCCAAACTGGACAAGTACTCAGAGACGGAGATACGGAGATAGTAAGAGTTATTTACACACTACACACTCATGTCTCATTCTTCCATCAATATCGTTTTTTTGAATATATACTACTATACTATACATGTTTCCAGCTCACTACTCCCAATGAAAAAGCAATGGTTATATAAATCAGAGTTGAAAGAGTCATGCGCGTGCATGAAGAAATTCTGTTTTGGCAAAAAAATGAAGGACAATTCTTGGTGTTCACCTACGCTAAAGAAGGAATTTACAACTCAAAATAATTTTCACAAATGAGATTTGGCGAATTTGTTCTTTACTGTATGTACATCTTGATGTAAACCTTGGTGTGCACCAACTTTAATTCAAAAAAATGAATGCGGAAAATTTTAGTTCTAATCCAGAACTTCAGGCCACGGGAGGTAAAAACTCGTGCAGCACGAAACTTGGAGGACATGTCTAAATTACCAGCTAAGCCCGAATGTCCTCCCTGCATCATACGGAGTATATTTTAGTTGGCCATAGAAGCTCTCCAATGTTCTCTTGCGCTAACCGGACCAAAAACCTTTTTCGGGTGCACCTTATAATGAATACCAATTCAATGCATCCCTTATAACCTGCAAAATCAAGATGCCAAAACGAGATCAAGAATGAGATGAAATATTGAAATCATATCAGGCATGAGAATAAAATGGCCAAAATCAATGTGCAGTGATTAAAAATTTTCAGGAAGAACAAGGTTCATTTATCCTTTGACAAGTACTCCTTCTGCACTTTATTATTTTAATACATACTCCGTAATAAGGTAAAGCAGATGTGTCATGTGCATGAGATATTAATTATCCTGCAGTGATTCTACCAGAATTGGAGACAAATGAATTGAAGCATTACCAAGGAAGCTTAAAAGTGTCCTTCAACCACCCGTGTTTAGAGCAATTTGTGACAATCTTATCTGTCCGCGCTATGATCTGGGAAAATGTTGGCCTTACAGCAGGTTCAGGATCCCAACATTCTTCAATCAACCTATAATGGATTCAAATGAATCAGAGAGGCGCAAATAACAACCATACAGATGGGAAAAGGCATGTGATATTCCTAGGGCTTGTTCAGCATTTCATTATTCATAGCGTCATAGGTGCCCGGGAGCATAGCTCAAGTGGTTAATAGGGGGTGCAAAAAGGGTAAATCATCTATAGGATTATGTCCCATTGCAAAAAATGATATTGTGAAATTAATATGTAAGTCATCTATAAGATAATATATCAATACTTTTACTAAGAACACAGAGATGTAGATTTGGTGTGTGTAATCCTATCATGTTAATCTGGGTGTATGCTTCATTGAGATGGCAGAATAATGTACTAGATAGGGCAGGATGAGTACGAACCCCATCACTACCAATATATTATTGAAAATTCAGTATTATTTACATGCCACACCCACCTCCCCAACCTCGTCATCAATACAGTGAAAAGAAATTAGTGAAAGACAAAGAAAGATGTTATGCCGCTCCCTATTTTCAAACGAAACTTAGAGTAAAATCTTTAAAATCCGATGCCGATTCGCATACCTAGCATTCAGAAAATGGAACTTTAGATATAAAATATAGGTTAACCACATTCTATCCACATGTTCTCCATCATATCATCAAATTATGGGGAGTTATATGCATATATAGTCCCTGTGGTGTTTCATAAGTGGGTAAATAGTCCTCAAACTTTCAAAAGTTGTCAGATACTCTTTGTGGTCAAACAACCATAGCATATTTAGTCCCTATATTAGAAAATTCGCAAAATGTACACAAGACGTGCGTATTATGAAAAGATGTCAATCATGTAAGAGTAAAAAAGCTAATCTGACATTTCAGTTATGATGTGTAACTTTGAACCATAGTACAATATCTTCCATCTTTTAGTTTAACTCTTACAATGAATTCTCCTCTCTTCTATAGTGATTTTCTTGAATCATAGTACAATGTCCTATGTGAGCTCGACATTATTCTGTTTTTCAAATAGCTTTATTCTAAGGTAATATCGTGTGAGAAAAGAGCTAGAAAAGGACCATTCCGTGCCTTTAACCACAAAGACAAGGGCAATTTCATGAGATTAACTTCTTTTTTTGTTACATGCTTCACATTTTCACACAGTACGCCTATGTTCTGTGTGCTTTATGTTTTCCTTAAGAAGGGACTAATTATGCATCAATTCTTTGACCAGAGGGACTATTTTGCAACTTTTAAAAGTACAAGGACTATTTACCCACTTATGAAAGATCACAGGGACTATTTGTGCATATAACTCAATTATGGTTATGCCAATGCTTTATTATGTGCAAGAAATGCAACATACTGCACATGGAAGAGTATAAGGAATCTTTCATACTTTAGTTATTCTAGGCAGTAGGCATGCATGAAACCAGTCATTTGCAAATAAGACTATCATATGAATGTTCACAAGTACAGAAAATATCTGAAGTAACAAAAGAGATGATTTTTCAAGAGCTATGTGAATTGAAATATTGCATTACTTTCAAACTTATGCTTAAAATGGTTCTCCAATTACACACGTCCCCAATCCAACCCCCAACCACAATTGCCAATTTTAAATATATACAAAAGACAAGAAAAGAGCATGATGACACACAATAATACAATGGAGAAAATAGCAGAAGTGATCCTTGTGTGCAGAATGTCATTCAGGATGCTATCTGACCGCTTACCCATAATAAAAGTAGCACAACACCCATGAAGAAAATTGTATCAAATCTATATGACAGCACTTCAACGACTAAAAGCTTCATTATAGCTAAAATATTGAAAACAGAAACAAATCTGATCTTACTCTTTCAGATCAGGAGGATATTTGGATTTTGTCTTGAATGATGGTCTTTTTCCTTCTATACATAACAACTTTGCAGCCTCTTCAGGGAGTTTTGGATGGAAAGGAGGGCATCCTTCCATCATCTGAAGTCAAATTAAAGGATAAATTGTAAGCCAGTGAGCTAAAAAAAATAACTGGTTGCATGCTCTAACAGGTTAACAATAGTATAAACTTAAGGAATAACTCGGGGGGGGG